GATTACAGACGTGAGCCACTGCACTCGGCCGTATTTATCATCCTCGTTTTACAGATGGGGAAACCAAGGCATAGATTAATTGGCTTGCCTAACATTACATCGCATCTAAGTGTTGAAGCCAGGATTTGTACCCAAATGGTTGAGCTCCAGAGTCAGTCCTCCTAACTACTGTATTTCACTGCTTCTCCAGGTCAGGCTGTCATGTTCACTGTATTCCTACCATTTAGACTTGTGCCTGGCATCTGGTAGGTAGACAGAGTTTACCCTACCCTAGCCCCAGCCTTTTGTTAAATGAAAAGGATCCATAAGGTATTAAAGAGAGCACTGGGCTGAGGATCTGAGTGAGGGAGAAACCGAAACACCGAAGGACTAAGGGTACAGATAGAGGCAGGGATAAGTCGCAGATGGGAGGGGTTGTCTGTGAGCTGCCCCGACAGTGGGTCACACGCTATTGGCTAGGAACATTCTAATAATAACTAGTTTGTGACGTCTCTGAAGACGCGGAGGGGGTGTAACTGGGGAGGGGAGGGGAGAGGAGCTTCAGGTATTCGTCGGGTCAGGCTAGCCTTCAGCTGGCTTCGCCGGAGGCGTCAGGGAGGGGGCGGCTGGCGCCTAGCCAGGAGTCTGGGCGGTGTCCCCCGGCCGCAGAGCCCAGGGCGCCCAGGGGGTGGGGCCGGTGGGCGGAGACTCCTGCCGGGCCCCGGGCGCGCGGCCTCTGGCTCGCGGGTGGCCGCCATGTGATGCGGGGGCGGGGCGGGGCGCGGCCGGCCCCTGCCGCACCCAGGCTGGGGTTAAAGCTGCCTGTTGCTGGTGAACGGTTGGCTCGGCAGGAATTTGGCCTGCAAGGTATGTGGGGCTGCGGAGGGGCCACAGCGGGAGGCGTTGGGGGCCGAAGCCAGGCAGGGCAGAGGCCCCGTGGCCCGGGTGCGCGCGCGCGCGTGCTGCGCGGTGGCGGTGCGAGCTCCCGAGCGGCTGCCGGAGCCCCGGGGACCGCGCTCTAACGGCGGCTGGGTAGCCTGCGAAGCCTGGAAACCCGTGTGAGTCACGGTCGCTTTCGAACTAGAAAGCGCTTGCGCAAACCTATTGCTAGATTTAGGATTTTGCGTTCGGTTTTCAGTTAGTGCTTCAGAAAGCTGATGTGCTGGGATTGATCGGTCGCGGTTACTTGTATAAAGGTAGACAAGGAGCTCTGAAGTGTTGTTAAAAAACTTAAAATATCTGCAGTGAATTTATAATTACCTTATTTAAATTATCTTGAGATACTAACGTTTATTTGCGTGGTTTTAAAGAGATTGCAGAGAACCGGGTCCTGGATTAAAGAAATTACTTGGTAACGAATTTAAAGTGGGCTGAGACTCGGGTAGGTAAACTCTGTAACTCGTTCAGTTAATTAATTATGATATCCAAAACAACCTTTTTTTCTTGGTAGAAAAAAAGTTCGGACATTATAAGAAAGTGTTACAAAGTAATGTCCGGGCGCGGTGGCTCACGCCTGTAATCCCAGTACTCTGGGAGGCCGAGGCGGGCGGATTGTCTGAGTTCACAGGTTCGATACCAGCCTGAGCCAGAGCGAGACCCTGTCTCTTAAAAATCGCCGGGCGCTGTGGCGGGCGCCTGCAGTCCCGGGTACTCGGGAGGCTGAGCAGGAGAATTGTTTGAGCCCAAGAGTCTGAGGTTGCTGTGAGCTGTGACTATGACGCCACAGGACTCTACGGGGGTGGGGGGGGGACATAGACTCTGTCTCAAGAAAAAAAAAAGCAGCAATGTCACAAGGTTTATTTGTAGAATATTATTTTTTGTTAAATAATTTATTATTATTTTTATCTTTTTTTTTTTTTCCTGAGACAGTCTAACTTTGTCGCTCTCGATGCAGTGCTGTGGCGTCACAGCTCACAGCAACCTCCAACTCTTGGGCTCAAGCGATTCTCTTGCCTCAGCCTCCCGAGTAGCTGGGCCTGCAGGCACCTGCCACAATGCCCAGCTGTTGTTTTTTTGTTGCAGTTGTCATTGTTTAGCTGGCCCAGGCCACAGTGGCCGGCGCCCTGCCCACTGAGCTGCGGGTGCTGCCAGTTGCTCAAGTCTTATTCCACTTACTTCCCACTTACTAACTAGATTAGTGCGGGGGATTGTGTGAGAATGGCATATACAGTTTGTAGAATTTGTCTTTGAGGAAACTCCTGGTTCAGTTAGTTAGAGGAGTGTTTCTTTCCACCTCCTGTCACTTCCCCCTTCCTTCCAAACTTTTTGTCTCAAACAAAACAAACAAATAAAAAACACCGTCTGAGACACAATCGTCTTTTGAAAGTGGTAGGGCAGTAGTTTAGATTATAGTGGTGAAAATAAAGAGACATTTTTAGTAATCTTTTAGTGATTTGAATTTTAGAATTAGAGCTGATTTCAGCTAGTCCTTTTTTTTTTAAAGACAGATTCTCTGTTGCCCAAGCTGGAGTGCAGTGGCATGATCATGGTTCACTGCAACCTCAAACTCCTAAGCTCTGGTCAAGACTTTTTATGGGGAAAAAAAAGTCAAAAGTGTTTATACTTTGTATATATTAGGGAGTTTAGACTACTGAACCTTTGGAATAAAAATTTTTGCCTTTTGGTGTGTTGTGTAGTGAAAGACTAGATTAGGAGCAAATATTTATTAAAGAAGCACCACCTCCTTATCCCGAAGTCTGTGAGTCTATGTTATTGTCTTCATTTATGAATTAGGAAGTTAGGTTCCAAAAGATCAGATGGTCTGAGGTCATTATCACTGGTGGATGAGTAAAGGATTCTAAGTCAGGGCCTGCTTGCTTCAATGGCTTGCAGCTTCAGCCTTTTTTCTATATTTCTTTCCACCCAAGGATGGAGGTTCCATCAGCTTAACCTGCTAATAATAACTGGCAATGTTAAAAAGTAACATGGAGTGCTTATAGTTTGCAGAAGCTGGGTTAATTGCTGACAGGCAGAGTCTTCTTACTTGAACCTGCCTGTAGGCTGTCTTCCTTTTTCTAGAAGAAATTGAGGCTCAGAGATTAAGTTATTAGCTTGGGGGTCTCCAGCTTGTAGACACAGCCAGAGCTCAGATTTGTCAGATTACAGGGTGATTTCTTCACCATCATGTTTGCTACAGTTTACTGAAAATGGCTGTGTGAATTAGTTACCTCATACAAGTCTTTTTAGATGTGACATTATAAAGGAGGCTCAGGCTTCAACTCATTATGCTTTGAATTCATATTCACAATTCTAAAGGTGACTGTTTTGAAGGATAACACTTATTTTAATTTGAAAATAAATGTGGTAACAGTATATGGAAAAATCGGTTTTGTAACTTTTTTAATACCATTCTACAGTCTGTCTGTAGCTGATAAGGGGAAAATCCAGTGGGTATACTTTTGCTGTAGTCTGCTTTTATTGGGTAGTTGTATAGTATTTGTGATTTAATTGAGAAGACTTGCTTTGGGGATCTGCGAATCTAGTCAGCAGTGTATGCATTTGAGTTTATCTCCCATCTTGTTCCAGAGTTCTAGGTTTTTTGAAAGACAGCTAAACATGCCTTGCATGACTGACTTAAGTGCAAAGTAAAGTGCACTTAAGTGCAAAGTAAAGCAACTTGTGGTAATAAGGTGACAGTCCAGCTCTCCAAATCTGAGCCAGCATTTTCAACCATTTTATGCATTTTTTTTTTTTTTTAATAGTCTTACTTTGTCACCTTGAGCAGAGTGTGGTAGATTCATAGCTCACAGCAACCTCAAACTCTTGGACTTAACAGATCCTCTTGCCTCCGCCTTCCAAGTAGCTGGGACTACAAGTGTTCCCCACAACGCAACGCCTTGCTAGTTTTTCTATTTTTAGTAGAGATGGGATCTTGCTCTTGCTTAGGCTGGTCTTGAACTCCTGAGCTCAAGCAATCTACCTGCCTCAGCCTTACAAAGTGCTAGGATTACAGGTGTGAGTGTGAGCCACTATGCTGGTTTATGCAGGTATTTCACAAAAGTCCCTACCAGGGGTCCTCAGACTTTTTAAACAAGGGGCCAGTTCACTGTCCCTTAGACTGTTGGAGGGCTGGACTATAGTTTAAAAGGACAGGCTGCGGCTAAGCAGGACAGGCAGCGGCAGCAAAAACACCCGGCAGGCTGGATAAATGTCCTCACCGGGCCTGGATAAATGTCCTCACCGGGCTGCATGTGGCCTGTGGGCCATAGTTTGAGGACCCCTGAGTGTGTGCCAAGTGCATACTAATACCCTGCTCTAACAGGCAGCTTCCTTTGAGAAAACAGAGTCAGCAAAGTACTGCTAGTGTTGGCAAGTTTGGAAAAAATTTCCCCAGTGATTTCTGTCAAATCCAATTGAGGTAGCCCTTCTTTTTATAGATCATTATGGGGAAACAGACTGGTAATAATTAACAAGGGAAGTTAGAAAATTTCCTGAATCCTTCAGTTTCTTGTAGGAACTTTCTAGTTCCTGAATCTGAATCTTTTGCTGAGACAGTGGAAAGTAATCCTGTTTGCCTGCTTCTCTTCCCATTGTTTTATTTCTGAGGGTGGGACTCAACATTACTTTTGCCCCATGCAGCTTTTTGCCAGACGCCTGGCTCTAAACTTCATCTTGAAGATGCAGTCAAGGCCTGTCAGAGTTCCCTTTGTCTCAAACAGGCCATGAGTCATGTGGAGGACTCTACACTGGGTAGGCTTCTCTGAGGAGGTCATTGCTTCCAGGACCGTCAGGAATTTCTTTCCTATATTGGGTAAAATGTCTTCTATTAGTCAACCCCCACCCTTGGGTCTATTCTGAACACGTCTAATTCTTATAGTTGACAAGTCTTCATATATTTGAGGATAGTAATCATGTTTGTCTCCAGAGATGTTTCTTATCTAGACTAAACAGACTTCTTTCCTGCAGAACTTTTTTTTTCAAGGTTTTTGGGGCTTCTGTTTTCTAAATGCCCTCTTCTAAAAGTGTGTCATTCAGAAATTTTTAATCTAATAAACAGGAAACAGACAAGTCCTATACAAATGCTGTACTTTTAGTAAATGTAGTCAAAAGGCATACAAGGTATTTTTCCCTCAAATCTAACAAACAGCTAGCCCATGTAAAAGTTTTCTTTCTTTTTTTTTTTTT